TGTTGTTGATGTTGTTGTAGTAGTTGTTGTTGATGTTGATGTTGTTGAAGTTGATGTCGTAGTCGGTTCTAATTTGAAAAAATAAATTTAAAACGAGACAAGATTATTGGATGAAGTTTTGCTCATAACTTCTTATTTCATCTTTTGAAACAATGTATCGATTGTAAGCATAGACATAAATATATATTTTTTTATTTCGATGACTCATCGTGCCTTTGTTCAACTATGATGGATTTTTATAGTCGACTTTCTCAAATAATTTTCCTGCTTTTTTTACTAAATATCAATTAAAACCTAGTTCTTCAACTTTCGAATATTCTTATCCAGTGTTACTTGCATCGAAATCAGTCCTTATTGGACTGCATAGAAAGGAATTTTCATAGCGAAATTGTCTTAAATAAAACTATTGTTCAATCAAATGATTATATCATTCTAGAAATGAACTAATGAATTTATAGGAGAAAATTATCATTATCTATATTTTTCAAATATTTTTTTTCTAAATCTATTGTATTCATACTAACCAGGTGGAAATCTTGTTCCACTAATAACATTCATACTAACAGTGTCCATATCGGCTACCGCATTCACATTTTGATTTGACATATCAGTAAATAATTCACAATTAGAAGTTGATCGATGGAAACTGGCTGCTCGGCAATGAATTTGACTTAAACAATACATTTGACACTTCATACTATTCTGTGTAATGATATTAATGAATGGTAAACAAGTTGTATTAGCACATTCAAATTTAGAACAATTCATTAAAGACATTTTTGCTGATCGCATATCTTCTGAAATTGCTTGCGTAATACACATAAATAAAAGTAATAAAGAAACTTTTCTTGGCATCATTTTCAACAACTCTTTCAATGAATGAAATGAATCTAACTTTGAAGAAAATGTCAAGTATTTATTAAAAGAGAAAGACTCTCATTTTCTCTCTCATTTTCAGTGTAGTCTATATTTTTTTTATTTCATCAACCTAAGAAAAAAAAAGTCAGAATTTTTGTCCTATGAGTTACTAAGTAACGTCTCATTTTGTAATGAGTGAATAACTCTTGTGTATTATTAGACAAAATGATCTTTTTTAGTTGCTATGCTATTTAAGTGTAAACATATTTAAGGTTAAAACTCGTATGTTATCTAGAGAAAAAATTAAAGAGAAAAGACCGATCAACTCAAGAATATTTGATTCATAAAGCAAACAATCAATATTTAATTGTAAATGAGTCTACTGAAGAATATATTGTACACTAAATCCATGAGTCTGATTTTTACTGACAAAATAAAACTATGCATGACTTATTTCTGTTTTATTATTTGGTACATGGTACGAAACAGGAAGAAATTCGTCAATCTTGCTGTGGTACTGAGAACTACTGTCATTAGTAGAAGATACGTTGAGATTATTCTTGAAATGAACTAAATTTGTTCAATACTATTTCCAGATATTTTTGCGCATGAAGAAATATTTCTTTATTTCTATTATGTAGATATGATACGGCATACAGGATGCTTCAAATGTCATGATCATTTGAGAAATTCATTTTTCTCTCGTATTAACAAAGTGATATTAATATTTTTTTTCATACGAGTCATTTTTATGAGTGATGTTCAAAACCATTATATTAGATATCAATAAAAGATATATCAGGAAAAATTTGCTTTATTTTTAATTAAATCGATATGTTAAATTATTCTGTTGTTCAAATCATCTAGATTTTCAACTATTGTCTTCTAGACATTTATTTTGAGATGTTCATGATCCACTTGCTGCTAAAGACCTCATTAAGTAAACTACGGACTGCGTTTTGAGAGAATTGCATCTTCTAAAGAGCTAACAACAGGTGATATATTTCTCAGAAGTAGTCCGTATATAGCTTTATAATATTTTCAACGATAGGTAGATTGCAAGATGCAGATCAGTATCATAAACTCATCGTTCGTATAATCTAACGCCATTACATTTCCTTTTCTGGGAGTATCTCAAAACAATTGTTCAGAATCTTGATGATTTGAAAAACAGAATAATTTAACATATCGATTTGATTAAAGATAAAGAAATTTTTTTATGATATTTCTTTTATTCATGTCAAATATAATAGTTTTGAATATTACTCTTAAAAATGACTCGTATAAAAAAAATATTAGTATCACTTTGCTAATAAGA